AAAAAAAAAAAAAAAAAAAGAAATATGAAGTATTAATATATGATATCCATTATTTACACTACACCAATATATTAGTTACATATTATATAAATATAAATCATATACAATTCTAAAAGTATATCTATATATTATACATTAACTGTATTATATATTAATGTCATGCTAATATTATTTTCTATATATATACTTGACATATGTTTATTTTCTGCTATGGTTTGAAAGTCTCTTTTTCAAAATTCAGCTCTTGCCAATGTGGTCGTATTAAGAGGTGGGGGCCAGACAGACTGGCTCAAGTATGTAATCCTAGTACTTTGGGAGGCCAAGGTGGGTGGATGGCTTGAGCCCAGGAGTTAAGAGACCAGCCTGGGCAACAAGGCGAAATCCTGTCTACAAAAAATACAAAAATTAGCTGGGCGTGGTGACGTCTGCCTGAGGTCCCAGCTACTTGGGAGGCTGAGGTGGGAGGATCACCTGAGCCTGGGAGGTTGAGGCTGTGGTGAGCCATGATTGTGCCGCTGCACTCCAGCCTGGGTGACGGAGTGAAACCCTGTCTCAAAAAAAAAGGAAAAAGAAAAAATTTCAAAAAAAAGAGATGGGGCCTTTAAGAGAAGATGAAGCTTTGAGGACCTGTCCCTCATGAATGGGTTTGGGTGCCCTTATAAAGGGGCCTGACGGAAGGAGTTGGCTCTCTTGCCCTACTATCTTCTGCCACATGAGAATGCAAGAAAGCCCTCATCAGATGCCAGTGCCTTGATTTTAGAATTCTTAGCCTCCAGATCTATGAGAAAATAAATTTCTGTTCTTTATAACTGACTCAATGTGAAGTATCCTGTCTAACAGCACAACACGGACTAACACATTTTCTCTCTTACCCTCTAGAACGTAGGCTTCAGAAGTGCAGAGTTTTAGAATGCCTTGACTGTAACTGAAGTCCCAGCCCTTGGACCAGTGTTTGGTACACAGCAGTGCTCAGTAAGTACTCTTCTGGTTCTCCTCCTTCATCCCAAATCTCCCCTTCTCTGCCACCTCTTCCTTTTTAATATAGGCACAGAAGGTCCTTTTTTTCTGTCTTGGCCCCAACAATGTCTCTCTACATAGTGACTGCAGTCACTGCCAAGGCTCCACCTATGATTTTGGTATGGATTAATTCCACCTCTACATAGCTTTTGACTTTCTACCAAACTCCTTATCTCATTTCTCTTTTATACTATTCTACTTTGTAGAAATCATATATATATATATATATATATATATACACATATATATTTTAGCACCACTTTTGGACCTTGAGATCGTAAAGGTAACACAATTAGTAAACTGTAGCACCTGTAAGATTCTCTTACACAAACCAGGAAATGAAAAAAAGGTCAAGGCTGGGAGCAGTGGCTCACACCTGTAATCCCAGCACGTTGGGAAGCCAAGGCGGGCAGATCACAAGGTCAGGAGATTGAGACCATCCTGGCTAACACCATAAAACCGTCTCTACTAAAAATAGAAAAACTTAGCCAGGCATGGTGGCACGCACCTGTAGTCCCAGCTACTCAGAAGGCTGAGACAGGGGAATCGCTTGAACCCAGGAGGCAGAGGTTGCAGTGAGCCAAGATCTCACCTCTGCACTCCAGCCTAGGCAAAAGGGTGAGACTCCATTTCAAAAAAAAAAAAAAGTGTGATAAAGAAAACATTGAAGACAATCTGATAAAACAGATTACTGACAGCCAGCTATAATGAAGACCAGTGGTACCTGGGCCGGGGGTGTGTGTGTGTGTATTCACATGTGTGTATACAGACACAATTACATTATTTTGGGGAGTGGTAATAGAAAACACCTGCACAAGTCTAAAAAATGCAGAAGAGGAAGAAAAGGAATTAGCCAGGCATTGTGGCACGTGCCTATAGTCCCAGCTACATGGAAGGCTGAGATGGGGGACTGCTTAAGCCCA